GCGGAGAATTTTGAACTTTTTTTGACAACACCCTTTGAAATGAGTTTCAAAATGTAATGCTTTGCCAAGGCCTTCGTGCTGCATGATAAAAAATATCAGAAATGAAGATATGAACTGGATATTTAAATAATTCAAAAAAGAAAAAAAATGTTAACTGCATTGTCTCAAACTAGATGTGAAAAATTAAGTACTTTATTTGTCTGTGTCTTTTTTTAAGTCTCGTGCACCACCTAACACATGTGGTAAGCTGCTTATAAGTGGAGCAACAAACTGGGACCTAGTTGGACGAAAGGAGACACCAAAATCTGCAGGTTTGTTTGTGTGTCATAATTTGTATTTCATGAACAGGCAACCCAGAGGTTAAAGACAATTTATGAATCATGAGTGACCCCCAGATTGCTGTGAGTAAAGCAGTGCTCCATAAATAAAGTCATTTAACTTGACATTTTAATTATTTCTCATCACCTTCAGGGGCCAGTATTAGGTACTGAGAAGTACATTGTGTCTCTCCTCTCCACCAAAAAACACAATTATTTGTTCTAATTCGGATATATCAACAAAGTTGAAATGGTAAATTGGCCACCGTAACGATTACAAAAGCTGACGTTTCGAACGTTAGCCCTTNGTTACGGTGGCCAATTTACCATTTCAACTTTGCTGATATATCCAAATTATTTCGTTACTCCCACCGACGCAGCCCCAAACAGTTTCTTTCAAAACTATCAGCCTTTATTTATTTGTTGTTCTCTTTGTTGTTTTTTAAGTAGCCCATTCCTCCTAATTCGTGCAGTTTAAACCCCTTCCATTTGCCCCTTGGTTAGCCCATTCGCACCAGACAATAAACTTGGACTGGAACTTACTTTTGAGGAAAAACTTGATGGATTGTTGCACATTTACCTTTTGATGCAAAAGCAACCCAGTAAGACAAGAGTGGGGGGGGGAGGGGAGGGTAGTAATACCTCTTGTGGGTGATTGTGCCATACATGTACATACATAAACTGGGATAAACTTTAGGGATTGTGCAGATGTGGATTCTTTTTTAACCCTATATCAATATGCAAGAACAAGGCTCTGCTCTAAGAAAAATCAAAGGAAACCCAGTGCTCTGAAACTGTCAGTGAAATCCAGGGTGCCCAGCATATGCTTTTTATAAAAAAAACTAAGATTGCTGAGTTGCCCAGGAGCAAAAGTAAGGCGCCCCGGAATCACCAGGCACTGCTAGACCACAGCTTCATACTGTTCTCTATACAGTTCTTCTGGTACCTAAAGTATATATATGTTGTAGTTGAATTTTATCCTTGGTTCAAATCTTATTTTCCTTTGTTTTAAACTCATTATCATACATTAACATGACCGAGAACAAAGGAAAATAAAATTTGAACCAAATATAAAATTGAACTACAACATATACCAGGAAAATTTTTCTTGCCACTTGTTATTTGTTATTTTGTTTATTTTGTCATTTTGTAATGATAATACATCAGTATAAAAGAAAGGAATTACATCATATAAATAAAATTTAACTGAAGATTTAACATGTGGCAAGGCAGGCTCCTCATATTTTAACTAATGTCTGTTGATGTGTAACAATCAAGAGCTCTTTGAGTTTGTGATCATTTCCTTTATCCTCTCGACCTCTATGATTGATTTTTGTGGGATTAAAGTGTGATGAGGGAGGTAGTGTTTAAGGGTTGAATCAACGCTTTTTCTTCCTTTAAGAAAGAAAGCAACTGATGTAATGTTTTACAGGTAATGCAGGAGGTCCAAACTTATGGGAACCACACAGCATCTGGTCACTGAACCACATCAGAGTACAGCAAGTGGCCTCTGGTCCAAGTGCATGCCACAGCATCATCATCTGTGAAGATGGCACTGTTATGAGTTTTGGTAAGCATCCAATTTAACATTGTTACTTGGTGAGCAAAATGTACATGTCAGTGTGACAGTTTGGCCTCTGAATTTAATTGTCCATTAAATTGTGAAAATTGACGCAGGGAAATTTTCCCTAAGATCTGATCTTAATCAGGAAGACTTTAACTCCCAAGGTCTGATTGTTAATTTGCCCCTCTAGCTGCTACACATTTCCTGGCCAGTGACATTGTGTTTTGTTCTTGGGCAAGACACTTTCCTCTCGCAGTGCTTCTCTTCACCTAGGACTATAAATGGGTACTGGCAAATCTAATGCTTGGGGGTGGGGGGGATAACCTTGCAGTAGACTAGCTTTCCATCCAGGGGGGAGTACAAATACTTCTAGTCACCTCATGCTCCAGAAACAGGACTTAAGCACTAGCCCGATGGGTCACTTGGCTCACAAATAGGATTTACCTTTACCTTTACCTGGATCAAGATAACAACTTCTACATGTCTGATAAGTTTAAGTATTCTAAGTACCTTTTTTATGGAGATTGTATGAATAATTGCAAGGAGAAGAGAAATGTTAATCACTTCTGGGAGTTACAATATGTTAATCATTGGAAACTGGTGATTTTGACAACCAATCCAAGAAATTTTTAATAATTTAGGATTCTGTTTTAAGGATTAAGTTTCAAAGGGTTTCTACAGTCTTGACCCTTTCACACCCAGGATCTCACTAGTAAAATACATTTCTATTCTACTTACTGTCTGCTATACAATTCTTGTGATGACAGTTCAGGGAATTTGGTTTTGGATCAATTACAGTAACTGTAATTTATATGTTTTCTTTATTCTCACCACCTGTCTGCTTGACATTGTATTCATATTTTAAGGAGTAATTACATCTTGGTCTGTCATGGGAGTTAAAAGTACTAAGTAAATTACACCCTTCACTTAGTGTACTTGATTTTATTTCCTTCTTGTTATGATTGAATTTTTCAAATTTTCTCAGGTCGCAATGACAATGGTCAGCTGGGCCATGGAGATGTGGTGCGTTGTGACAAGCCCAGAGTGATTGAGAGTTTGAAGCACTACACTGTGGTGCAAGCAAGTTGTGGAAAGGCACACACCCTGGTTCTCACAGGTTTGCAGCTGCAAAGCTATTTGAATTCTTTTTAGCCTTGAATAACATATGCAAGTTCTGGCAATTTCATTTCTAGAATCACTCCCTCCTCCCCTCAGCCCCCCTCTGCAAGGATCATTTGTGGCTGGGAAGAAGAGGGACCCTGGGGACAAGTTTTTAAATTCTGTTTGCATAACGTTTTAAGGGAGTGGATGGGGGAAGGGGTGGAGTGGAAAAGTAGGCATGTGGGGTGCTGTTACTGTTTTTCCCCCTGCTAGCTGTAATGTCATTTTCTAGTGAGTATAATGACGTTAAGATCTGCAGAAATGTATTCAACAAATGCATATCCAAGGGGGGGATGGAGGGGGGCTCGACCTCAGACATTCTGCTGTCCACACAAAATTCTGTGGACAGCAAAATTCTAAAGACCAAAAAAGAATGGGAGAAGCTCTAGCAATTTTAGCCATCATTAAGAACACTCATGTTCAAGTTGGTACCTATGATTTGTTAATGATGTTTTCATCACACATCTCTATTAATAACTGTTGTTTTCAGCTGAAGGCATCCTTTTTGGTTTCGGTGGAAACAAGATGGCACAACTGGGACAAGGACATCAAAAGCCTGTTGTGGCCAAACCTGTTCAGGTACCACTTTTATAGATTTTTTTCAAGGTTCTTCCTTTTCAGTCATACCAACTGTTCCATGAATTATTTGCGAGATTTTCCTCTATGTATTGCCCAGTGCACAATCTAATGAAGATAATGCACCAGGGGGTTGTATTGCAAATACTCTGATCGAGGCCATTCTGTCTCCAGATAGTCCCCCTCTCTATTAGGACCTCATCTGTAGTGCCCCCCTCTTCTAAAAAACCCCCTCTTAAAAAAAGCCTCCTCTTCAAAAAGGCTCCCTCTTCGAAAAAGGCCCTCTCTCCAAGAGGCCCCCTCTACAGTGAGGCTCCCTCTTCAAAAAGGTCCCCTCTCCAATTATCCTCCTCTCTAGTAAGCCCCCCTTCATTATGATGACGGTTTTTCTAACCATTTTCACTGCATTACTGCAGTAGGGTAGGACTAGAACGGGACATATGCGAACCATGCGAGTAGTCCACCCAGTAAATCCCACCCATCCCACCCCAGGAAAGGACATCCATCACACAGTAATCTCGTGCGTGGGAAATTAACGTCTCCTACCCCTATCCCTGTAGGAGACGGGACCTCCGTTTATTCGTCCCTATCCGAGAAGACTAGAATATCTAACCATTTCTTGATGTTATAGAAAGGTAGCATATCCTTTTCAATTATATTAAGACCTTGAGTGTTGCTCCGGCCGGGGCTTGAACCCTCGACCTCCCGCACAACAGTCCAGCGCTCTATCCATTGAGCTAACCGTAGAGATATCTTGTTGGGATTACTAAACCACCAGGAAACCAAAGGCAGACGCGCTGGTTGTCCCGGGAGGCGGTAATACATTATTACTGTCTCATTTTCTGGTTCTCTTCCATAATAAGATTGTCCACCCGAACAACAAGAAGATAATCAAGACGGCATGCGGAGCGGAATTCAGCATGTTTATTGATGAAAACAACTTGCTATATTCATTCGGTCGCCCGGAACACGGTCAGCTTGGACATAACACGGATGGGCAGTACTTTGTCACATCAAATAAGCTGGCATTTTATTGCGAGGTGTTACCGAGACATGTTGCAGTTTTTGTGGAAAAGACAAAAGATGGATTTACCCACATCATGGATGATGTAAAAATTGTCGATGTTTCGTGCGGAAATAACCACACGGTAAAAGTGTTAATCTTATCTATTTACGGCTTACTTGGTTTAATTTTCCTTTTAGCAAGATTCAATACAGGGAATGGAGATGGCGCAGTGGTGAAGACGCATGCGCTCGTGGACAAGAAGAGCCACCTTGCGGAATGTAAATCGCTATTAAAATGCGTGTGGTCGCACAATGAAATTTAACACTTTTTCTCTTGTTGTTATTAGTGTTTCGTTGGATCTCTTTGTTTGGTTTTGCTTTTATCTTCTTTAAACAAGGCAGTAAATATTACCCTTTTTTTTATAAACTTACTGCCCTTCTCTGGTTGTAGCACTTGTGATGTTTTTTCAGTCTTCGCTCTTAGGTCCTCGCACTTCGCTCGTCGGTTTTATTAACATGTACATACCGACAGTGATCTGCTTCTATTTTCTCGTTGTTCTGTTTGTTCGAAATACTAGTACGAGATAAATAAATCTATAGTACAGCCTGTAAGCTGAGCGAACTGTTTTGATCGAAAAATGGAGTCAGTGTATTGTATTATCTTTCAGATTGTACGAGACTCGAAGGATAGAGTCTTTACTTGGGGATTTGGTGGCTACGGTCGGCTTGGCCATCAACAACCCAAAGATGAACATGTACCAAGACTGGTTTCTTTCTTTAAAGGAAAAAGTGAGAGAAAGCTTCTTTTCTCGTTGTTGTTGTTTTTGTCTTCTGTCTCATTTTTGTTGTCAGTTTTCTTTTTTTTCAGCCCTGGTTTTACAGGTTTTGTTCAACAGACTTTTATTAGAAATCTGACAGAACGTTTTACATTAAGAGATGCAATCCATCACTTATGTATTCAAGCACTTTTCCTGGGAGAGCGAAACTTCTTCCTGAAGCGTTTGTTAAACATCCACTTTGTGACACCCCTTATTACCTGTTTGTAAAAGCAGTCGACTTTTCAAAATGCCTAAATTTCCTCACGATATTCTGTTATTTACTTTTATATGGGGTGAGTTACATACCTTCCTTATTTCTATCATTATTTGTTCGCTTACAATTTAGTTCCTTCGTTCATGCTTTCAGCGAGTAAATGATTTTAAGTTTCAAATGGATATAGACAGCGTAACGAATACATTAGGAAAGTCTTTTCTCGCAAATACTTCCACCGAGGGAAACCGAGAACTCCTGTAAGATGTGTTGTTGTAGAGTTATTTTTTAGAGTGATAAATCTGCCTTTCCGTCTCTCCCTCAGGTATTTCATCGGTTCATGCCGGTGCGAGCTATAGCATGGCGGTCAGTGCTGGTCAGCTGTACTTTTGGGGTCAAACCAAGAGCACGGGGGATGCCACTATGTACCCGAAACCGGTCCGGGACATGTCAGGATGGGATGTTCGTAGTGTAGGATGCTCGTAAGTTTTGAATGTCAAGCAAGGATGTGACTGAGATAAAAAGGAAGGGGGCAAGGTTGTTGGGGTGCATTTGATCCCGGTGGGGTTCACACTAAGAGCACGGGGAATGCCACCATGTACCCCCAACCGGTCCGAGACATGTCAGGATGGGATGTTCGTAATGTAGGATGCTCGTAAGTTTTGAAGGTCAAGCAAGGATGTGACTGAGGTAAAAACGAAGGGGGTGAGGTTGTTGGGGTGCATTTGATCCCGGTGGGGTTCAGACTAAGAGCACGGGGAATGCTACCATGTACCCCAAACCGGTCTGTGACATTTCAGGATGGGTTGCTCGGATTGCAGGAAGCTCTTTTGTTGTGAAGGCTAAATAGGGGCGCAGCTAAGACAGGAAGTGGAGATTATGGGTTTATCTGAGCCTGCTTTTGAGCAAGGAATATTTTATTTTAATGAACATGCTCCAAAGGGGACGCTGGGCTAGCATCCTTGGATTCTTTTGTTCCATCGTAACATCAATTACCAGGGTGCTAGGGTCAGGGAATGAGTAGAAAGAAAAGATAACGGTTTACGAAAAGCCAAGTAAAATTACAATTTTAAGTCCATAGCTCATTCATTTCTTCTGTTCGGTGGAAATATATTAATTCATTAGAAGGACGGCTTAAGGTATCTTTGGCGGAGAAATTCTCAGAAAAAGTGAGGGAATTTAGAAACTGGGACCATCCCAACCATAACTACAAAAAGAATTATTTAATGACATTTTTTAACCTTTCGTCGTTAAGATAGTGTAGAAAATTAATGAAAGTAACTGCTTCATTTTCTAATAGTAAAACAAGCATTGTTCTGGCAGCAGACGACAGTGTGGTCAGCTGGGGACCAAGTCCTACATACGGGGAACTGGTGCGTAGTCCACTCATGGTCTTTATACTTTTCAAAAGTTGATGTCCATACTGCTGTTTTGGTTTTGCGATATTGTGTATTCGTTCGTTTCGGTCTTGCACACGAAGTATGGTTCGTCATTCACCTCTGAGGTGACAACTTGAATAGTCTGTCAGAGGAATCGTCCAGTGTAGTGGTAACAGACAGAGCTGAATAACGTATACGCATGCGCCAGGTTTTGCCGCGGAAGCACGGATTTTGAGT